GATGGTTCATAACAGTAGCAAAATTAGTTATTAAGTAGCAACGAAAATAATTTTATGGTTGGGGGGTCACCACAGCATAAGGAACTGTATTCAAGGGTCGCGGCATTCGGAAGGTTGAGAACCACTGGGCCAAGCCAACCAGCGTTTTGTACCCACAGGGAGCCTTGGCATATTCCTGTGCCTTGGCATGTGGAATCTAGGGGCCAGGGAGCGCCAGTTAACTCAATGGTGCATGATGTCAGGGAAGTCTCCCCACTGACCTTGCCCCCCCAATTTGTTAGAATTTCTGAATGAAAAAAATTTTGTTGATGCCCACACACATAGTTGGTTTTTAAAAACCTATAATTTAACATTATGTAGTTTTAATAATTTTTGAAACGAATAGTGCATCCAAATAAAGCACTTTCTGAGGTAATGATTTTGTTTTAACTTCTCTATTTTAATTAAATATATAATTGAAGGTGCATTGAATTGTCAGGTAGAAGGTACGTTGACTTCAGTATATTATTGTCCAGGGAGCCCTGGTGGTGTCGTGGTTACCTTTGTGCTGCCACCCGTAAGCTCGGCAGTTCAAGATCACCAGCTGCTCCTTGGGAGAAAGACGGGGCTTTCACTAGGAGAGGGCATCCACGCAATGGCAGTGAGGGTGTTTTTGGTATATTATTGGTCAAAGAGGCCTGGTGGGTTACCAGTTGAGCTGCTACCTGAAAGGTCAGTGGTTTAAGCTCCTGGGGAAAAAGTGGGTCATCTATGACCCGTAAAGCTTTACAGCCTCAGAAACCTTAGGGGCAGTTTCTACTCTGTTCTATGGCATTGCTATGAGTCAGAACTGACTCGATGGCAGGTAGGTTGCAAATGACTAAAAGACATAAGGAGGGGAATATACATTCTGACCAGTTATTAAAAAATGAGAAAATAAATTGAGATTTTTTTAGTTATAAAGTTAGCGCATAAAAAAACCAAAACAATTTGTTGCAATAGCCACACAGAACTCACAGACAATATTCACAATTATGGGGATTTACTAGGGAAGCTAGGAGCTCTGGTGGCTTAGTGGTTATGACTTGGGCTGTTTACTGCAAGGTCAGCAGTTCTAAACCACCCGTCCACTAAGCTTTCTACTCTGCTGAAGGGTTACAGTCTCTGAATCCCACAGAGGTAGATGTACCCTGTCCTATAGG